GAACGGGGCCTTCAATCTTAGTTTTTTGAGAAATCTCCACACTGAATTCCACAGTCCACACTCCCACTAACAGGGGAGAAATATTCCTTCATCCCCACACTCCCACCAACATTTGTTATTGGTTGATTTCTTAATGTCAGCCATTCTTTCTGGAGTGACATGGAATCTCTATGTTGTTTTAATTTGTATTTCTCAAATGACCAGTGATGCTGAACATTTCTTTATGTATTTATTTGCCATTTGTATTTCTTCATCTGAGAACTGAACATTCATCTTACATGCGCATTTATGGAATAGATCTTTGAATTTGGGAAGCTAGATGTTTTTTAATTCTTTATATATTCTAGATAGAAGTCCTTTTGGACAGTTGGATAGAATTTTTGCTCATTCTGTGGGTTGTCTTTTCACTCTGTTGGTGATTTCTTTTGAAGTGCAAAAACTTTTTAATAAGAAGAGATCCCGGTTGTTAATTCGTTGAACTACTTCCCATGTAATTTGTGTTTTGTTCATAAACTCTTTGCCTATCCCTGTGTCTTCAAGATTTTTACCTACCTTGTCTTCCAGTAGATTTAGTGTTTTCATTTTAACATTTAGATCCTTGATCCATTTTTTCTTTAGTTTAATGCATGGTGATAGACATGGGTCTAGTTTTAGTCTTTGGCATGTGGAAAGCCAATTTTTCCAGCACCATTTGTTAAAGATGCTGTCTTTCCTCCAGTGAATATGTTTGACCCGTTTGTCAAAGATAAGGTAACTATCTTTTTAGTTGTGTCTGCATCTTCTAATCTGTTCCATTGATCCTGATGTCTGCTTTTTTTGCCAGTACCACACTGATATTATCATAGTAGCTTTGTAGTATAATTTCAAGTCAGGGATTGTGATGCCTCCTGCCTTGCCTTTATTGCCCAGGATTACCTTTGCTATTCTAGGTCACTTCTGGTTCCAAATGAATTTTAGGAATGTTTTCCCTAGAAATTGTCCCTAGGTTAATGGTCATTTGATCAGGATTGTGTTAAATCTGTTTAACAGTTTTGAGAGTATGGCCATTTTCACAATGTTGCTTCTTCCTATTCTTGAACAAGGGATATCTTTGCATTTTCTGATATCTTCTTCAATCTCTTTTTAGAGTATTATAGTTTTCAGTGTATAGATCTTTTAAATCCTTTGTTAGATTGATTCTAGGTATTTCATTTTGGGGGCTGCTACTATGAAAAAGTATTATTTCCATAACTTCTATCTTAGTAAGTTTGTTGTGTATAGGAATGCTACTGATTTTTGAGTGTTGACTTTATATCCAGCTATGCAGCTAAAATTTGCTAATTAACTCTAATAGTCTTTTAGTGGAATTTTTGGTGTCTTCTATATAGTATTAATGTCATCTGCAAATAGTGATAGTTTAACTTCTTCTTTTCCTATCCTTTGTCCTTTTATTTCTCTTTGTTGTCTAATTGTTCTGGCTAATATTTAAGAACTACATTGAATAGGAGTGGTGATACTGGACATTCTTTCCTTGGTCTTGATTTTGGAGTGAAAGCTTTCAGTTTCTGTCCATTTAGTATGATATTGGCTGTTGTTTTGTCATAGAGGGCTTTTATCAGATTGACATAGAGACTTTCTATTCTGATTTTCTCTAGGGATTTTTAAATCATGAATGAGTGTTAGATTTTATGAAAAGCATTTGCTGCTTCTTTTGAGATGATTATGTGATTTTTGTTCTTGGCACTGTTGATATGGTGTATTATGTTTACTGATTTGCACATGTTGAACCACTCTTGCATTCCTGGGATGAATCCCACTTGGTCATAGTACATAATCTTCTTGATAATTTGCTGCATTCTGTTTGCTCATATTTTGTTGAGGATTTTTGCATGTATGTTCACTAAGGAGATTTGACTTGAGTTCTCTTTTTTTTGGTTGAGTCCTTCTCTGGTTAAGGTAAAGAGTAATACTGGCTTACAGGAATATGTTAGGGAGAATTGGTTCCCTTTCAAGTTCATTAAAGAGTTTGAGGAGTATTGGTGTTAAATTTTCTCTAAATTTTTTTGTAGAATTCAGGTGTGAATCCATCAGAATCTGTTACTGTGGCTTCAGGCTGTTCCAGGCTGCCAGACCTATCTGTCTGTACTGTGTGTCCCATCCAGGACCCTCCTATGTCACTTAGGGTCTCACAGGCCCAATTGGGTTTCTCCAGGTGGAGGGAGGTCTTGCCAGCATTATCTCTAGCCCATCTAGGGTTCTTTGTATGGAAGAAGGGCTCACCCACACTCTTGCCAGCTCACCAAGGTCCTCTGGGTGGGGGAGGGTCTGCTGAGGCTCCTGTTGACCCACAGAGGTCTTTTGCTTGGGGGAACTTCCTGTGCTCTTGCTGGCCCACCAAGGTCCTCTTTGTGTGGGGCAAGATTTCTGAGGTTCCCACCAGCCCACCAGGGTGCTGCAAGTGGTGAAAGGGATCACTTACAGTCTGGTAGGCTGCTGAGGTCCTCTGAGTGTGGGGGACGGGCAGGTTAGCTCTAGAAATCTTTTGGATGCCTGTGAGGCTGGCCTAGGCTCCCCTCAGCTGCTGAGGTCATCCAGGTGCAGGGGAGGGACAGCCAAGGATCCCCTGGACTACTGAGTTCTTCTGGGCTTGCGGTGGGAGGGGGGGCAGACCTCTGAGCCTCCCCTTGGGTGTTCCCCGGGTGCAAGGGTAGGGTGACCAAGGATCCCCTGGACTACTCAGTTCTTCTGGGTATGGGGGAGGGCCTCTGAGCCTTCCCTTGGCTGCTGAGTTTGTCCCATGCTTTTTTTTAAAAAAAACAAACTATTTCAGATTTTTTGAGTTTGGGCCACAAAGTATGTTGGAAATAACATCCAAAAGCTTTTATAACATCCTACTGCATTATTTTTTTCATGATAATCACAGTGACATCGTATTGAATTCAAATATATTTTATAATAAAGGTCCTCAGTTCTTTATCTGAAGTCCTAAAAACTGGAAAAATATATAAGTTTTTCCACAAGCTTATTTAACAGTAAAACCTTGATTTTACCCTTCTTGGTATGAATATTCACATTTCTTCACTTCAAATATTTTTATTTAATGTAATAAAAGAAGATGTTAATAAAATATGAAAAAGTAATCTTCTATGAAAAAATAAAATTTCATAACAGTTGGAGAATAAAATGCAAAAATATTAATATGATTCTTTTCTCAGACATCAAAGGAGAATATTATGTATTATAGGTATGTTATATGCATCATCTTTCCTAATCATACATTCTGACTGCAAAGATTTTTAAGAACAGATTTTTGGCTGTGTAGTACTTCTTGTCCTACTACTCATTTTTAAATTAATAATCTCCAAAAATTAAGCATGCACAAACCTCAAAAATACTTAACTCTGATTGGTTACTTCCTCTGTATGTTCTGTAGTTTGAAAACTACCCATTGTTAAGTTAAGCCTTTGGATCCATTAAGATAAATGACTGGTAAATATCTTAGTCATTTTCCCATTGGTGGGGAAAAAATATCCAATAATTACAGCTTAAAGGAGAAGACGTTAGTTTTGGCTCATAGTTTCACTCTGGTTAGTTGACCCCAAGACATAGCATGGTGGAAAAGCCTCCATGGAGGGCAGTTCATCCCATTGCAGCCAAGAGGCAGAGAGAAGAAGGGAGGTGCCAAGGAGAGAGACAGACATTTCCAGTTCATGTACCTGATGAAAACAGGCTCCACCTCCTCAGCTGTTAATGAGATCATTCCAAGAGCTCTGTAGAAAGTTCCCTGTGGCAAAGTACTAGCCAACTACCAGATATGTGGGCAAGCAATGTTGGAAGTAAACTGTCAGCTTTAGTCATGTCTTGAGTTGTTTGTAGCCCTGGCCAACAACTGAGTGTCAATTCATCAGACATTCCAATCCAGCCAAGCCACTCCTGGACTGTTGATCCACAGCAGTTGTGAGGAACAAAAGCTATTTGTCATTTTAAGCTGCAAAATTTTGGGATAGCAATAGATGATTAGTACACCTGAAACTCTGATTTAGGGAAAATGTTCCTGTGATAATTGAAATTATAATGTGTTCTCATGAATTTCAAATATGGATGCCAAATGAAAATATATCTTCCATCTTATTTAAAATTTATGACATTTTTGTTCCAAATTTTCTCCATGCAAATACTAATGTATGTATGTATATGTATATGAAAAATATGCATGAGTTTTTTGCTAAAAGATACTGGATCATATTAAACATATGGTCCTACAACTTGGAGTTTTCATTTAATATGATATCTTCTATATCAATTCATACAGATGTATGTCATGTTAATATATCCCCATGTGTTTTATTATATGAAGTTGTTGAAGAATATTTAATCTGCTTCCAATTTCTATAAATATGTACAGTGATACAGTGGGTAAACCTTCAGGATATTTTTGTAAAAACAGAACTGCTGGATTAAAGGATAGACACATTTAAAATTCTAACAGGTACTTCCAAGTTACCCTTCCAAAAAGTTATACTGATGTATTTGATCAGGGAATATAAATATCAACTTTCCCACACCTTTAACAATACTTAGTAGCTACAATCATTATTAATCAGGTAGATGAAAAAATAACTATTTTCTTCTGTGCTTCATTGTTAACCATCTTTTTGTATTTGTTAGCTATTTGTATGTCTTTTGTTTGAAAATGTCCATCTTTGCACATCTTGGTATGATGTTACCTTTGTATTGGTTTGTATATCAACGTGTTAACCACTTTGCCTGTAACATATTTTATAGAAACTTATTATCACAACCTGCTTTAGTATGTTTTTGAATGATATTTGGGGACTTTCTTGTCATAACTCAATGATGTAAATGTTAGATAAAGCATGAAAATAGATTATGTCTAATTTCAAAAGGGTTGAAATGAAATTTTTTTAAAAAGAAAGCATTTTCTCTTTCTATAAATGTTAACTGTATTTAACTTTGACATCAGTGACCCAGTTGATTTGGATTTCTGCTGTTTTGTCTAGAATAGCAAATACTACATTCACCGAATTCCAAGAAGCCGTGAGGTTCAGCAGTCCTGGCTCTCCACAGTGCTCACCACCTTGCACTCTATGTGGCTTTCCTTTCCCCTCATTCACCGAGTAAAGCCAGATCTGGTAAGACCATTGCAAAAGACAGGGACAGTAACTCTGTGCATCGTTCACTTGTACAGTAATAGACTTTATTGTTTTTTTAAATAGCTAACATTTATCAGTGTGCAGGTAGTATACTAGACCTTTTACTAAACTAAGTTAAAATTAATCTTTTTTATGTACTTTGCTAAAGGAAATATTTTTTGCCTTGTCTTTCCATAACTTGAGCTCTAAATTCACCCTTTTCTTCTGCTTTGTCTTATGATAAACATTAATAGAAGTGTCAGCCAGTTTTGTGCCTGTACACCTGGTCCCCAGCCAACATCTTATGCTCATCAACCAGAAAATAGTTAATTCTTTAGTCTTTTAAATTGTCTTTTTTGTTTTTGTGAAGACTATTGCCAAATATAGTATAGAGTAGGCAAAATGTCTATATATACACTCTGGTATTTCTGGTAAACCAGTACAGAAAATAGAAAGATGAAACGTAGTGTACATTGTATTCAACCTTACTTTCCTTATCAGTAAAAGTTTTAAGTTATCTTGTTGTCTTTAAAATAATGTTCTATTAAATTTCAAATGTTCTTACTGGACAATGCAAATCAATGGATATGTTATCACTCATTCCTACTGAAGGTGGAATCCACTAACCTGAAAGGAAGCTTTTCAATCTTATGAATATAGTAGTTGAACAGAAATGCATTTAACCACAATGTTTTTAAAAGATCTTCATTGGTTTGGTCCTTGCCTCCCATCAACCAAGTCACTCTTTTGAATGAATTTCTACATGAGTAATTTTTTTTTTTTTTTGTCTTTTCCTTTTTATCAGTACCAGGGATCGAACTCACGACTGCCTGCTTGCAAGGCAGGCGCTTATGCCGCTGAGCTAAATCCCCAGCCCCTACCTGAGTAATTTTTTACATGAGTTTGTTTTTTAAAAATATCATGTGCATACAATAAAATGCACACATTTTAAGTGTGTAGTTTGACAACATCCCTAGCAAGATTCAGAGCATTTCTGTCATCCCAGAATGTCCCCCTGCTTTCCCAGTCAAGCCCTTCCCTCAAGTGGTCATTGTTCTGATTTTTATCACCATAGATTAGTATGCAAAATTTATCTCATAATCTCTAACCAACATTTTTTAATGTATGGAATCCAGATATTTCCCTTATTGATTATTAGTAGCTTGAAGGGTTTAATTGGTTCACTTCTAAAATTCACATAATGAATGGAAAAGGAAAAACAATTTTAAAAGTGAAAATGGAAATTTTAGGTTTATATTTACTATCACTTGAGAGGTGTGGTGATTCTTACTGGCAGCAGCTAGTTTGAGTTTAGTGACATGAGACTCTAGCTATTGAAGCTCAAAAGGACATGGTCTGATGCCTGCTGTTGCAGGTATATACGAGCTCTGTCTGGTCTAAGTTTTGGGTGTTTTGTTTTGTTTTTTTTCTGATGTTGGGGATGAATCAGGAAGCTCACACACATATACTAAGCAAGTGTTGTACCATTGGGTTGCAGCTCCAGCCTGCACTTTGGCTTTTATTTTATTCAGTTCCTTTCTGGGCCTCATTCTTTACCTTAAAATAAAAGAGTTGGGCTACATATTTTCTCAGTTTCCTTCTAACTGAGTCTAAAATTTTATGAGCACCATTTGCTGGTAAAACAGAAGAGAAAGAGTTTTGTTTCTGTAAAATAAAAGGGAGATAAATGTAAATTAATTATTCCCATTTTAAAACGACTTAATATTTTTTAAAAGTTATATCAAATCTGAACATTTTCACATGGATATCTTCGCACTTTAGCTCCCAGTTAGTGATATTCTGCTTTTCAGAGAAGAAAGTTGATGGTTAGGAGGCCTTTCTATACTGAAAAAACTACAACAAGCAGATATCTCTGTTCTCATCCATGGGTTGAATGTGAATGTCTCCACAAAACTCATACGTAAAAACCCAGCTCTCAAGAAAATAGCATAGGAGGTAGGGCCTTTGGGACAAGATTAGGTGTGGTGTAGAGGCCTGATGAATGAAATTGGTTTCATAAAAGACACCCGCAGGAAGTTCCTTCATACTTTCTACCATGGAGGGTTACAGTTCAGAGAAGACTGTCTTTGAGGAAGCAAATCCTTAAAAGAAAATTAATCACTGTTGCCTTTATCCTAAATTTGTAAAGCTGCAGAACTGAGAAATGACTCTTTGTTGTTTATAAGCATCCAGTTGATGGTATTTTATTACAGCAGCCTAAACAGACTAAAAATCAACCATGCTTTTTATCACAAAGCACCATTTCTTCTTTATTTCTTTAAAAATATAAAAGAAAACCCTGCTTTTAGAATGGCGTCACGAGAATTTAAATTGCCAGTTTTTTGAACAGTCAAGTGCTTTTTCATCGCTTTAGCTGTATACATCTGAGTTAATAAAGTTGTTGATCATTCAACTATATCTTTTTCCACTTCATCATGCATAAAATATATAAACACACTTTCCTATTTTTCCAAAATAAATTCTGAATACTAGAATATTTTAATGATTTTGAACTAGAAATCCCATCTGGTACATTTACTGAGAACTAATATGTGCTAGACCTGATAATAAGCACTTTGTATTAATGCTACATGAAATATATAGTACTGTTATTCACATTTAATGGGTGGAAGAACTGAGATTCTAAGACATGAAATGACTTGCTTAGATTCTGAACCTATAGTTACAAACTAGGAACAGAACCTAGATCTTTCTGATTCCTAAGTTCAGTACCTTAACTGCTGAGTTTATGCCACTGTCTCTAGTTCATACCTTGGAAGATGTGTTCATTCATTCAGAATAGCTAAGAATCAATTGATAGGGGGTGGCAGTCCAGGAGTGGAGGAGGGGCTGTTCTGGGCATCAGTTGAGCAGATGCCCAGGATGCCTGGGGGAGATCAGCTTCCCCTACAAATCAGAGCTCTAAATTACAAGGTTTTTACCAATGTGGAAAAAAAAAGAATCAATTAATAAGTTACTTTTTGAGTACCTTTATACACACAACCTCTACATGATTGTATAAATAAAAATGTATTCATATATATGCATATAAATGTATAATCTATTATTTTTGAGGAAAAAGTGATAAATTTATTCCTTGAGTATATATATTAAAAGTTATACTGGTTTTGTCCAAGCAATTAGATGAAAACCCTTTCTTAGAGAAAAGTTACAAATCCCAATTTAGATAACTTGATTTACTCCTTAACAATTGGGATATGATTGAAAAATAGGGATATTTATTTTTTAAAAAATTAGAATGAAAGACACATTGCCATTAATCTCCATTAAAATACTCTTCTTTCTTTCAAAAATATTTATCCTGTTCTTCTTGCCACTTTCTAAAGCAATTTTAGAAATCTTCTTTCATATGTCTTTTCTAGAATGTCTTTAATTATGCTGTTGTAGCTGCCTCATTGTTCTGAATGCATGCAAGACAGTTACCTTTCATTGTCATTTTTATGTTGGGGAAGAGCCATCAAGTCACACAGTGAGTAAGGTGGATGAGGACACATGTTTTTATGGGCTTGCCTTCCCAGTCAATGGCACTTGATCGCAACATTCACCATATTTTTGATCATATCTTATAAACAATGAAAGGTGACTTCCCAAAACTGCTTCAGAAAGTGGTAAGAATGATGGAATAAATGTATTCAAATGAGGGGGAGTGTTCGTAGGGGGCTTATGACAATGTGTCTTTTACTGTAATAAATTTTTAAAATTTAAACATTTACTATATATCCGCCCATCCCCAGAAATCCAGGGATTGAACTCACAACCACGGGCTTGCAAGGCAGGTGCTTATGTTGCTGAGCTAAATCCCCAGCCCTTTACCATATATTTTGATCGTACCTTGATGATTTCTTCTCTGAAAAAGTCATTAAATACATTTTAAGTAATTCTAATATTTCACACATAATTTTTTAAAGAAATTTTATTTTTATGGGACTTTGCCAGGTGTCTGTGAATAAAAGTCACTGCTGCTAGGACTGCTCTTGAGTTTTAAAAAGTTAATGGATCAAAAATAAGTCAGCGGTAGCCAGGCAGTGTGGGTGGGAAAACAACTGACTGCAGATGGATTTGAAAGAGGATTTTGGCATATGGAACTGGTTTTGTATCTTGTTATTTGACTGTAAGTAGTTGTCAAATAACTTACCCTCAAATCTAAAGAGGGTAAATTTTACTGTGTGTAAATTTTATCTTTGTAAATACAAATTATCTGTTAGTTCATCAAAAAGAATGGTTTGTGCTTTCACTGTTTGATCATTTTTTCATGTAAATTTTTTTTTTTTTTTTTTTTGCACCGGGGATTGAACTCATGACCTCTCACACTTCCCAGGCAGGTACTTGTGCCACTGAGCCATATCCTCAGTGCCCCAAATTTTTACTTTATTTTTGTCACTTTTTTCTAACAGCTTTTAACATTCTGTTCTTAGGCTGAATTTCTGGAATCTTATTATATGGCCTGGTATAAATTCATTTTGGCCATGACTAATTGCAGCACCATATGCCTCATTTATCTGTATGTGAAATTCTTTTTCCATGCTTGGGAACTCTTTTTGCTATTACTTCTCTAAACAGGTTTTTATGCCATTTGTGCTGACTCCGGCATTTTCATTGACTCCAGTCCATCTTATATTGTTCTTCTTTGCATCATCTTGCAGTTGTTGAAATATTTTTTATGGTCCCTTGCTATTTTTAAGAGATCTTTCTTTTCTTGATTGCTAACCACAATCCTGACTTCTAGGTCTAATATTCTATCTTCACTTTCTTTCACACGGTTTTGTAAACTTTCAGTGGAATTTTTAGTTGCCTAGATATCTACTTAAATCTGTTTCATGGATTCCATTTCTGTCATATGTTGGGCATTTATGGTTTCCATTGTTTTTCTATACCCTTCAGTTTTTTATATATATGTCTACTCTAAACTTAGAGTCCTTCATTATAGTCATCATCTTCTTTTTTAACCTGTGAGAATTTTTGTTTTGATAGCCTCTGTA